ATATTTTTTGTTGTAAAAGAGAAAAAATTAACATTTCGTGTTTTAATAGTTATTTTTTTAATTTAATAATCTATGTGAAAAAAATTTTTTTTAATACAGACTTTAAAAAATTGTTATATTAATATACTTATTTAATTGTACTTATATTTGTTGTTCCTTTAATACAATAAATACAATTTACCTATCTCCAATTCATCACTTTCCGTATCCATATACCTAGGGTCCGATTACAATTAGAAAAACGCCGCTACGTCATAACTATTATTTCGAATTTCCAATATACAGGGTGTCCCGAAATTAGACGGTCACATTTTAACAGCGTAATCTACATCCTACAAGCATTAGAAATTAAAAATTAAAAAGAACCGAATTCAAAAACGTGCAGATGCCGTCACCACATCTTAACCAAATTTATATAGGATCACCCCTGAGGTACCCCCTTACTACCAAAAAAAGAATCATATAAATCGGACAAGGTGGTAAAGCATTATCGCTAAACATACATAAAAAATGAAGAGTTTGAGAATTTTTTCATGGGCCCAATTATTAGATTTTGACCAAATTTATATGGAACCACCCCTGAAGTACCCCCTTTCTAACAAAAATAATCATTGAAATCGGACACCGTGTTAAAGAATTATCGCTGAACATACATAAAAAAAAATAAAAAAAATATTGCGACGAATTGAGAACCTCCCTCCTCCTTTTATGAAGTCGGTTAAAAATAGGAGTAAAAGTTTATATAAACATAGGTCCGAAAACGTTTCGTTTTCGAGATACAGGGTGTTACAAGTGAAGTCCAGATGAAATATTTTCTAAAATTTTTTTAGTTACCGGTTTTTCAAAGTTAAAAAAAAAATAAAATTTCGAATTCTACAGACCTACTAATTATTGTTTACACTTTCGAATAAGGTAACATGCTTTTCTCTTGAAAATGGCGCGTCCTAGCGAGATGCAACAAATGTAGCTTTATTATACAGAAAATATTGGTTTTCCAAATTTTATAGTCAAAAAATGTGATGTGTCCAACACATAACTTTCCTATCTAGTTATTATAGGCTTTTTCTGGTTATTTTGTACAACTTATTGCAGTACCTCTATAAATGTTTAGAGGATAAACTAATTTTCCACATACATCTATCTACCTAGAAATATTTCTATAGTTATTCATTGAAAACGAAAATACTGAAAAATTTAAATTTAGCAATTTTCCTACAATTTTTCCATTTCGGTCCATTTTAGAAAAATCATGTATAAACAAAAATTATAGAGATCGATATCGCAAACAACTTTTAGTTTAGTTTAGAATTTTGCACATTTTGTCAAATTTCTCGAATACGGACCATTTCAGGAAATTTTGACATAAAGCAAAAATTATAGATAATAATATTAGAAGTAACTTTTATTTGAATAATTTTCTTCTCCAAACATAAATAACAGATATATTCAATAAAATATAGAAACGGCCTCCCATAAAGTACCCCCCCAGATGTTCCGACTTTGTCCAAAATCTAATTATTTCACGTCAGGCCGAAATAAAACTTAAGTTTAAAATTTAGTGTTTTTCTGTGTATCGGTTCATGAGTTATGGTGGATATAGACACAGCAATTTTACCCTAAGCTCCCCCTAATTTACCCACCTAAGAAGATGATCAATAACTGGGATTTAGTCCAATAAATGAAGCGTAAAAAGTTAAGTATTTGTAACAAATTTTACCTAATTATCTTTAAACGTTTAGAAAATATTTACAAAAGTGTGGTATCAGGACTTTACCTTTAACACCCTGTATCTCGGAAAAGAAACGTTTTCGGACCTATGTTTATATGAACTTTTACTACTATTTTAGGATGTAAAAAATATTTGAGCTGTTTGGTTTGAAAATAGTATTCCTACATTCGTATATTAACAAGCCACTAACCCCCAGTAGGCGGCGATAGCCAACGAATTATACCTACCTGAATTGTAATCGGACCCTTCAGCGTACGACACACAACATTGCCAAGTTTATGTAGCGAACAAGGTTCCAAATACTTTAAGGGGAGGTCGTGATATTCGTGCGGTGTGACGTCAGAAGGGACTGGATTGCTCTTAAGTTGTAATGTTTATACTTACTAAACTACCGTTGCCCCTCAGGTCTTTCAATGTGTAATGTAAATTTTCCTCTTTACATGCTAGTAGCCGAGAATACCCTTCTCGGCTAGTAGTTTGAAGTAAAATATGTGAGTTCAATAAGAATGACCTAAATATGTGTTTATTTTCAAATGTAGGTACCTACGTACAACCTAACCACCCTTCCGTTGTGTGGACCTTACTCGAAGAGGTTTTATGAGCTTGCACTTAACGAGACGTTTTAGCCACTAATTTTGGCGAATTTTAAAAAATCATTAACATGACATTAAGATCTACAACTTCTGTATTTACACTTTTCTCACATAACCTCAAAATTTATGTGAAAATTTCAAATAACCAAGTTTTTGGTTTTTTATTTTTATCTTTTACAAAAAAAAATGTTTTTTCACGAAATTTGATGAAAACTTACCTTTTTATGTCCCAAACACACTGTAATTTTTTTGATTTAAAATATTTATTTTTTCACCTTCTTTTGACTTAATATCGAAAATTTTCAGTCGGTGGGCTTTTTGTTCGCTAAAATCTCTACTTTCTGATAGTGTCAGAAAATGCAAAGATATGAAAAAAACTCGAATCCGAAATTTTTTTTTATCATTATGTACAATTTTGACCTATTTATTAAAATTTACACTTTAATTACTCGAAAAACGTAAGATTCCATGTAACATTGATAAACAAAAAAATTACAAATCTATAAAACGTAAAGATTGCAAACAACACGCGAAAATAGTTGTTCTAAATATTAAAGATAGGATTTAAAAAATGTGACTGATGCAATTTTTTTCAGTAAAAAAAGTTGATTTATTAAATTTTAATTACCTTTAAGTCATAGAAAATCTTATAATCGTAATATTGAATTTAGATACTTTTGTCTCTTTGATGACACTTTTTCATCGTTAGATTCAACAAACCTTCCCGATTCTAGTAGATCTTCGAAATCTTCAAGACCATCACCGCCTTCGTCTTCAAAATTATTTCTGGTCTGCATTAGTTCTTCATCCACAATTTCATGTGATTCATTAACTTCCTCGTAGATTTTTTCTTCCACATTGGAGCATTTTTCAGGACCATAACAATTTGAGCATAAATTTGTGCATTTTAAACCATGTTTTCGGCAGCCACATCTTAAACTGTCACGTCCAGTTTCACAGCTGCAGCAAATAGTTTAGAGCAATATTTTTGGAATTAATTCCTTTTTTGAAAATTTGGGCATAATACCACGTTGATGTTGCTTCCAGCCCCAATCTGTTGCTGTTAGTTTGTTACCCAGCCAAGTTTGAAGCTGATAATATGCGCTGTAACAATGTTGTTCTGCTGCATCTTCTGTGGGTGGGAGATTTGCCAATATGAAAGATGATTTAGTTTTTGCCAATTGATATTTTCGAAATCTTAATTGATTTATTGTTATATTATCATTTTTACATTTATAAATAGATTTGATTAATTGTAATCCATTTTTTTCGATATATTCTTTGTTTGCATCTTTTCTATAAAAAATATTGGCTAAATCTGATACATTTTTATTGTCTAATAATGAATTTACGATACTTTTCTTTCCTTTTCTGGCAAATCAGTATGAAGTATCTAAATTCAATAGTACGATTTACATGTATATTTATATACTATGAGATTTTCTATGACATAAATGTAATTAGAATTTAATAAATCAACTTTTTACTAAAAAAATTCCAGCAGTCACATTTTTTAGATGAAATCCCCTTTAAATCCTATCTTTCGCATGTTTTTTGCAATCTTTATGTTTTATGGATTTTTAATTTTTTTGTTTATCAATGTAATACGGAATTTTACGTTTTTCGAGTAATTAAAGTGTACATTTTAATAAATAGCTCAAAATTGCACATAATGATTAAAAAAAAATTTTTGGATTCGAGTTTTTTCTTTTCTTTGCATTTTCTAAGAACATTTACTATAGTAATGTATATATTTTTTTACACCATCAGAAAGTAGCGATTTCAACGAACAAAAAGCCCACTGACTTTTTTAAAAAGCAGATATTTTGACCGAAGAATTTTCGATTGAAAATTAGAGTGCATTTTCGATATTAAGTCAAAATAAGGTGAAAAAATAAATATTTTAAATCAAAAAAATACAGTGTGTTTGAAACATAAAAAGGTAAGTTTTCACCAAATTTCGTGAAAAACAATTTTTTTGTAAAAGATAAAATCTTGGTTATTTGAATTTTTCACATCATCATTGAGATCAGGTGAAAAAAGTGTAAAAACAAAAGTTGTAGATCTTTTTATTACCTACAACTTTGCTATTTAACTTTTTTTCATAGGACTTGTAGTTTTGCCGGAAATCAAGATAAACCGTTTTTTACCATTAAAAACTCACCCCCTTCCACTTCCCGACCTCAGATCGCCAGTAAATTATTTTTCCTTTCATTTTTGTTAAATTGTCTTCCTTTTCCAATGGGTTATATCCTACTATTATTTTTTTTTTGTTTCAAAAATTATCGACCCTGGTCTATTATTTATTTAAAACTTTAGTTTAAAAATGTTAATTTGTTTCGGCACTTTCCAGAAAAAAATTACATGTGGCAACAATGCTAATAAAAATTTGAAGCTGTATGGCGATATCGTTTTCCTTTCTCGAGTTCTAGGAAGGTAAAATGTGCCTATTTATAGGTGGACACTTTGTATTTTGAGCCCGAGAATCTCCGATTACTCACCCTATGGACCGTTATTTATGAGGCACCTTGTATATAAAATTTAAATTACAAAATAATTTCTAATGGTTAAAAAAAATTACTGCTATCCATCAATGTTGTTTACCTTTTTATTCCTTTAAATAAACAAGTTTTAAATTATTATACTTACGAATAAAATTATAAAAAAATATACTTTACCTGCATGTTCAGATTATTGTAATTCACAATTAGTTTTTACACTAAATAAGAACTTAGCATCCACTAAATTTAAATTTAAATCGAAAATGTGCATTATTTTAATACAGTCGATCGTAATGTCAGCAGGAACTTTTCTTGGGGGCCACAACAAATGCAACGTGACTACATGAGATTAACGTTGCAGCGATTGGCTTTGAATATCATGTGACCTCTAGATGTCACGTTGCATTTAGTGTGGTTCTGCTGGTTATCAATATACTTACAGGATATACAGTGTGTATAAAAATATATTGGTTTTAATGTATAACGCAATGCAAATGAATCGCGCTCCATGTTATTGGATCGCAGTGACGTAGCGTAGGTTTCTGCCATGCAGGGCAGATATCAAATTTGCCGCGCCATCGCCATAGAATTTTTAATAAAATTTATTTTTTCCAAACTTTAAAATATTTAAAAACTAGAAAAAATATTTAATGGTAAAAGCATACACTATCAATAATCAATTATTATACATAAACAATATTATGCCAACGTACTAAATTTAAGCCAAATCGTATAAGCCGTTTTAAATTTATAAAGGAAGAAATGTAACTTCAAGGCTGTCTTGTGCCCAAACTGAGCCGCTTTGTACTAAGGTAAGTTTACTTTTTGTTTTTGACTATACTATAGGGATGGATGGAATCGGTTTATTTTGGTACAAGAGTAGGTATGTGATATGGGTTTTCATAATCCCTACACTGTATTTAAATTAAAAAATTATAAGAATTTAGAATTGCTATTTTTTTCTTATACCTATGCAGATGAAAAATGGAATTTTCATCAAATAATGAAACTTAAAACAACTTTGATTGTCATACGAATTGATAGATATCAAGTAAACAATAATATTTATGTACATTGCTCTATATTTATAGTTTGGTTTGGATTTAGTCTTTAATACACGAAAGCTCTACTCACCTATTAAAACGTGTTTTTATATAACTCATTCGCTGCTGGTACTTGCAACCTTGAGAGCACTTAGGTGATGTATTGAAAACTGTGAAATTTCGCGCTGTTTTCATTTTAAAGGTTATATCTTAGAGCATATAAGCCTAGAGATATCATTCAATGTATTTTGTTATGTATAAGCGGGGTCATCACTTCTGGCGTGAGGGGAGAAGGGTAGGTACGCCATTCTCAATGGCGTACGGTTTGAAAGGGTTCGTATTTATGTTTACCATTTATGCACTGTAATTTCACAATAACTAATAATTTAGATAATTAATTCGCATGATTAATAAACAAATTTATTAAACAATGTTCTTTTTCTATTTATGTTAAGCTTTCGTTATACATTGTATTGTATACATGTTTTATTGGAAATGACTATGTTCGTTTAGGATTGAAAACTTTCTTTGTTGTAGATATAGGTTTTGAAACTGTATGCTTTCAAATGAATTCGTGATCACACATTATTTTCGTTTAGTTCAAGTAAATCATTTAGAAACAAATATTTTTTATATAGATAAATAAAAGAAAAACGAAAACAACAATAATTTATTTCTAGTAGTAATAATATTAAATGTACATGTTTTATAATAAAATTATTAATCAATGTAATCAAAACAAGAGATAACATAAAATATAGTAGGTACCTAACTATTCGTAATAGACATATTTTATTAACTTTACAAGCAGAACACAATAGCTTATTTTGCTTCAACTGACTGATTTTGTTGAAACTTGCTGCCAATATCAACATATTCAATATATTTTTGGCCAGTTCATTCCACCCTTTGCATAATTGCCATTTCATCCATTAAAAGATTTAAAAAAACCTTTTTTATAACCTTTTTGACTTTCTCGCCTTTAAATTTCAATGCTCTTCAGTGAATCCAGGAGAACCATCAACAGCCTAATGTCACTTTGATAAAGTACTGGGATGTGGGAGACAATTGTTTAATTTTTCCCTCACATATGTATAAGCCTTCATACTGTAGAAGTTTAAAGTTAGTGCTAACGCTTTTAATTCAGGGGAGTATTTTGTTCTGGAATGATCTTTAATTGCTCTCTTGACCAATTTCTTAGATCCACTTGCAAGAGAAGCCTAAAAAATAAACTAATTTGACCCAAAATACCATATATAAATAAAATGTTTCCTCATCATTAAAAACATATATGAATATTACTGGAATTAATTATTACATCCACATGTATATCTGTACTTTTTATAAAAGTGTTATTTTTTATATATCCTATATACTATTTAAAGATTCCGATCTACTTTGTAAAAAATATTTCCCCTAAGTTTTTCAATTATATATTTTTTTTGGCATAGAATCTTCTTTTGGGCAAGAGCTAATTTTCTATAAAAAAATAACTGTTTAATTTTTTTTTCTTAAGCATTGATTTCCTAAAATCATAATAACGCTTGATTATATGAGAAAATGTCTTATTTGACTTCAACAAACCTTCGTTTTTCTTTTTTAAGTTCTCTTTCCCTTTTAGAAGGAAGATTACTGATATTGTGGTTTTAGGTGATGAGTTTATCAAATTTTAAACAATTTTTTGTTTTTTAAAGAGAGTTAAAGATTGAAGTTCCCTGTCTTGCATATTTTCGTCCCTACAAATGAAATGTACATAAAATGTATTCTGCAGATTTTGAATGATATACATTTAATTAAATTTCAAAAGTTCCAGAGGCTATTATTCCCAGCACCTGTTTGGCTTTTAAAAATATAAGAACTAATCATACCTTTTCATTGGCCTTCTTTCTTTTCTAACTTCAAAATGTTCAATGTTGGGAACTGCAGATAAGGGCATATTTTCTTTACTGTTGTTATTTTTATGCCTGTAAACAATAATGTAATAATAATAATATTATATATGTCTAGCATTTAACAAAATAAGCCAAATATATGAATATCGAATTACAAGTATTTACAGTTTATTTGGAAAAAACTCATTTCTATAGCAAAGTACAGGTACAGATTTTGGTATAGATCCTTTTATTAATCTATTGCTACCTTTATAATAATGTTCAGTTGAAAATGGTCTGAACACAGACATGTGTTGTTAAAAATGCTATTAATGCTCAAACTAAATACTTGACAGTTTGGTTGTGAGATCAGCGGGAAATCTGAAATAAGTAAAAAAAGATTTAAAATATTAATGGCAGTTGAATAAGTATATATAATTCAAAAATATATCTAATCCATTTTACATTATATACATAAATTAAGCATTATCGCAAAGAAAATGACTATTTTCTGTCGAACGCAACCAGTTGCGGTCATGCTCAAATGAAGAAAATTCTACAAACATGTTTTCCTATTCATTTGCTAATTTCCCATTTTAAGTTACGTTTATGGAATATAGAATACTTACTTGTAAAACGTCAACCAGGATCCTTTTAAGTATGTATTATTGCAAACTATACAAGCTTTCGGCATAATTAGCACTTATTTTATAATAAAATTACACTTAAAAAGTTTATCAAAGGGAAACCTCGTCCAAATTGTCTTTGGAAGCCACAAAAAGTGATATTTTTAAAAACGAAAACAAGACGTCAAATGAAATGTCATTTATCACAAATACGCGCGTTATTTAAATTCGCCAATCATAAATCGTCATGTTCCTAACTCGCCAATCATAATGCGTCCTGTACCTAACACCGAAGGGGTTTACCCCCCCTCAGTACATAACAAACCCATTTGAGTAACACCTCTACTATTATATCACATAGAAAATCAAAGTATGTGTATTATATTATTATGCTCTAAGGGTTATATTGTTAGTTTTGACGTTACAGTAAAATGGAAGATAGTGAACCAAGTTGTTCCCATCGGAAACGGCTATAATATGGAACTAAACCACGATACACATACTAACGGTATGTTCCTGCACATGCAGCTGACTGACGGTGACGTCACGTGGGACATAGAATTATAAGCATTAAATGGGAGATAGTGTTTAAAATTCGATATTTTGTCAATTTTAGATTTTATGCAGTTACTTAAGCTTTATTGGTTATTTTGCAATATATTCGTTTACAAATATGAAGGTTTAATACTAATAAAAATATTAATTTTTCTCATAAATTATAGGTATTTTCTGACAAAATACATAACCTGGCCATAAGATAAGTAAAAGATATAAGACTAAAAATACAAATTTGCCTCAAATTTGTACTTTCTGGGCGTAGTAGTTCTCTTGCAATCTCTTTTCTTATTATGTGAAATAAAAAAAAGTGTGCAGAAACAAATTATTTATTTATAAAAAGTAAGTACACAAAAACATTACTTTTTATTTGGTAAATTTAAACATTTTTTGTCAAGTTTACTTTGAAAATACTCAAACCAATTTTCCTGTTCATTTATCTTATTCTTATATATGTTCGTGTCCTGCTCATGCATGGCATTACCTCAAAAGAACCGTTGTATTGGGACAGGAAACTACTGTTTTATCTGCTAAAATTTTTAAATACCTATTTATTTTCTTTGCTTAATGAGGCCCGTGCACCTGATGGAATTCAGTTTCCTTTTCTTGCGTTTATGTTTAAGAGGAATTTCACAACTACTTTCCTCAAAATTGATAGGGCAATTTCAATTAAGTTTGTCCTTTCTTCGATAAGAATTTACCCATATTTTGTGGCATTCGGAAATATCTCAACTACGCAGCCCGGCATTTTAAACATTAATTTAGTTCTTCCCTGTTATATATAGGAAAATATAGTCACTACTAACACAAAAATATATAAATTATTAAATTACAGTTCATCAAATTTCTAGAGGTGTTCGACGCCCAGACAGAGAACGCGCTACGTGTGACTAAGATAGCTATTGTACAGTCTGCTAAACAAGTTATTTTAAATAGTTTTTAATATTTTTAGGTAATTAAATTTTAAAAGTGTGGAATAGTTTAGGGATTAAATTGGTCTGATTGGACTTTCTTAGAACGTTTTTAAAAACAGCTAAAGATAGTATGTAGAATTGAAAATAATTATTATGCCATAAAAGGTGTTTTGGAATTCCTTCAACCTTTTGAAATTGAGTCAGAAAATATAAATTTTATAGGATAGCGGAAAATACCTATAATTTTTTTGTAGGCCTTTGTAAATCGTGGAAATAGTTTATATTTTATTTCTACCTTATTAAGGAAAATTGTACCTATTATTAATAACGGTTGTTTCTGAAACATTACTAAAATTTTCGAAATTTTGTTTTTCTACAAAATAATAAACTATACTATTTAGAAAAAAAT